CATTGCGTTTTAGCGGAATCCCCTTTTGCACTCTGGATCGATGCGATCCAATCGTCCCCTCCTGTTAAACTTGGGTAACCTAAACCCCTCTTAAACGCTAATAGTAACGCCTTCTTCTTTTTTTATTCCCCCTTGACTGCTGCCAAAACAAGGGCCCGGTAACGACTTTCACCTTTCACAGTACTGTAGCCGTCACTAGCCGATGCATGACCTATAAGCTTTCCAAACAAACACGTTGGGCATTTACGTGCAGAAGTGTGTTGCACCTAATCGGGTTCGGTCAACAGGTTGGGGATGGTTGTGGTCGTGCACCTGCAGTGCGCCGCTGCAACGTGACTCTGCTTCGCTACGCGACCCTGAACACCCCACCGCCGCCACCGTACAAGCACGGACCTCGTCGTCCCACCAATTTGCCTCACTGCACAACTGTCACACCAACATCTTGACTTTCTGTGACTGTGACATAGACATAAACGTCACAAAGCACAGCGAACTTAGCAAAAACACCGTACTGCAACAGCTGTACATGCTTTGCAGCTTTACGGTCCACTGATCAAGCCTGCTCTGACTCATCTGGCCAATCGAAGATCTCCTCCTCCTCCAACAGATGCGTCGAGATGAATCCCTGTGACGTATTCCCCTAAGCCTCTCATGAGTGTGATGAAATAGAAGATAGTCAAGTCGACGGAAGTATACTGGGCCTCGGAAGTAGTAACAACATTCTCGCGCCATACCCCGCCCCATCGCACCCAATCTCCTCCTCTACCCACGGTGCGTGGAGGCTACTATCCTCAGGATCCAGAATTACTTCAGCCTGCAGACCGCAAAGACAGCATCTCTTCGTGCTGGGGGCTGGCATGTCTCTGCTCGAGCAGCTGATGCAATTCTTCGTTTGTGCACAGCGCGTTGCTTTCTCTCAGTGCTGGGCAGCTTCACGTTCTTCCTTCACTCCAGATGAGGAATCCTGTGACGGTGCAGAGCTCAAGAGGCCTGCTCAAAAAAGAAGCCCGACTGGCCCGAAACATGCAGTGACTTTGGGCAACAAATCCTGGGCGCTACACTTCTACAAGACTTCCCGCTTGGACCACGCCCAGCCCTTCACCCGAGAGCCTCAGCCTCCGCGGAGACGGCCGTATTGGCACGCTGCACAGCCTGCGCTTGACGGCATCACATTGTGCTGAAAGCTGAAAACTCTGCTCATCTGCCTGCTTGATGTATCTTGTGGGGTCCGGGACGCTGGCACCACGCTCCTGCAACAAGGAACAGGAAATGCCTGCCGGCTGAGACACCAACCCCAACCTTGAACTTTGCACGATGCTCTAAACCGAACAGTCGCAGCATGTCTCATGTAGTCTCCCTGCTGAGTAGGCCTCAGCTCCGCTGAGGACAGCTTGGCTCTGGGACAGTTGCAGCGACTCGGTCCTGAAGTCCTCTGAGAATGGACATCGACTGAGGCACGCCGAGGCAATAGAGAGCACCAATCTGAGGCCAGGCAAGGAGCTTGTTAGAGCTTTCAGGCTCGGCTGCTTTCCTGCATCTTGGATACTCCAGGGGCTAAGCCGACACATATCATATTATCATGTCCTCATATTCCCAAGGGAACATCCTCCAAACACCAGTTGTTCTCGCTTCAAGCCGTACACAACACAAGCAGGTGCCAGGAAACCGGTGCGCCACACCTGACACTTTGAAATTTCCGCCCCCATGTTCTTAGTTTACTAAGGCACTGGCCACTTCATCGATGCTGATGGGTTGTGCTAGGCCAGCAAACTGGTTCAGCCTTTGGCAACAATCATGCATCTGCAGCTGCTCCCATAATCGTTGGATTTGAACAGCATTGTCTGCTCATTCAGGCACCATCTCACCGATCACCACGGCCGCGGGGGGTCGAGGGAGATTTGCTGTCAGCTTTTGGACTGTCTAGGACGGGTCTGTATGCAGGTCCCTCGGAATAGGATACCGAGCTTGGGATAGCAACAACGCACAAGCATGCTTCAAATGATATCCAAACATCTCGCCAAGGGACCACTTGCAGCGAGATGTGAGTCTAGAGACGTCGTCCACGTCTTCTGCAGTCTCAGGCTCAGCAGTTTCCGCTTTGACCTGAGCGTTGACTGTCACGATTCCACGGCGGTGTCCCTGACATTGCACTAACATCGGTCTCTGCTCAATCTAAAGCGACCCCACTCTGGCTACCATGGCCAGTCCTGGCTTCCGACTGCTGTAAAGCCGTGTCGCTGCGCCGCGGCCTTCCGAACGAACGTACCAGGAGAACGCTACTGCAACCTATGTCTGACATGTGGTGGGTCACAGGCAAGCTGTATACTTCAATGCTGCAAGGTAAGAATCAGACAACAGAGGTGTAATCCACCAGTACCGCTGCATAAGCTCAGACGACAACATTTGCCAGCTCATTCAACAAACTGATTTCGTAAAGGGATTCGACCAATGCCTACCCTCACTTCATGAAGCAGTCAAGCACTTCTGCCTTGATGTAGCTCACGGGATCATCAAGACCTGCTCTGTGACTGCGACTTAGCTGACGCACGAAAGCATGCCAGCAGGAATTTGCTCGGCTTGTGACCCAATCCCTTTTCACGCATTTCGCGCAGGATTCGCATGGCCTTAGCTGCTGCCATAACAAGCCCCTGCGCAAAGTGTCAGCACACAAAGAACAACGAGGGCAGGATCTGGCGACATGAGATTCATGCTCTCTTCGTTCCCAAGGCTTCCAAAGCACCAGCCACCTGGCAAAGTCTAGGTATCGCATGCATGTGAAGCAATGTGACGTGGGGTAGCATTCAAAGGAGCACCAAATTCAAAAGGCTATGTCTGAGGTATTGCCACAATAAAACAAACTCCAACTTCTGTTGCTTGAACCCAGGCTAACCAATTGGAGTATCAAGGAGCAGAACCGGCCCTCAGCCGCGAGCCTCGGCAAGCTTGACGTTCTGTCGTTTGCCTGGACCTGCGGCTGGAGCTCTTGACTGCATGGCGTTTCATAAGAGACTTCAAGAGCTGCGGTGGCCGCTTTGTGGAGTAATCAGCGGCCCCTTTCTGGCACGCATGCAACAACTGGACGGAAAAATGCAGCACCTGTCCCCGCCAATAAGTCAGAGCAACTGCACCGGCATCAGAGCTAGGTTATGCAAAGACTAGTCGATGGAGCATCGACTGCCTTTGTTCAGGAAGTTCATGAAGTCGTTGAGTGCCTGCCATGACATGCATTGTCTGCGCGTGATTTACCATTGAGCATTCGGCCGTCCAGCGTAGAGTTCAGCTTCAGTTGTGTTTGTCATTAAGTCGAGCATCCTCAACTGCGCTCCAAGCCCTGCGTTTGTTTTCTTGGCTGCCGCATGCTGCCTGGAGTGGTGTGACCGGCTCGGTGCTCTCTCGTGCGCTCGCCGCCTCGCGAGAAAGGGCACATTGACATAGCAAGGGCTCGAATGGGCTCGACAGCAGGGCGCCTCGGCCACCGGAGCATCTCTGGGGGTAGCTTTCGTCGGTTTGCTGTTGCCGCTTCCTGGGCAGGGAAGATGAGATGGGATAGGATGGGATGCACCGTTGGCCTAAAATCTTTGTCGACCTGATGGCTGCACTTCCCGGCCTGCACGGGAGTTCGTCTGCCGAGTTGAACGTAGGATGAAGTCGGTCGGGTTATCGATGCCTGCACATGTCATGAGTTGGATTCGCCTCAGGCCGTGGGGTTGCTTCGGTTCTTTCCTGTCATCATTGGCTTGAAGGCCGCCCCCGGCCGCACCTGCACTCTGATCCTCCAGCTGCTTGAGTATCGTCATAGCGGCATCCGATCCAACCTCGCGTTGGCAACAACGCTGTGCCGTAATTATATCAACTGGGCACCGGTGGCCGCATGTCCACTCGAGAAAGCCATGCGGAGGCGCTGCGAGATCAATCGGGGCCCAAGCACTCTCCAGGGCAGAGGCTACCTTGTTGTACTCGATGTCCTGCATGATCCAAGTCCCTTCAAGCTGCAAGCCTTGCCTGCAAATCCTCGATTACCATTTTCACAGTTTTCCTCTGGCGCCCTCTGGCTGCTCCGCCCCGCGCCCAAATCGGCCTCAAGGAGGCCCCCGTAGTCGTTCAGCCACTCCACGCCTTGGACTTGCCATGAAAAACCGTAAACAGTCGCTAATCCGCGAATCTGTGCCAGTCGACGAGCGCTTCTCTTTTCGTGCTGTGGATGCCGGAGTGCACGCGATGGCCCTGCTCGTTTGAGAGCCCGTGGCGCGCACTGGTAAACGGGTAAAGGTTCCTTAAGTGGGTTTACATGACGCAGCAGGTACTAAACAACTCTATTCTTTGTCCTAACAGTCGCACGGTAAGAAGACGTTCCTCGGCTTTGTCGAAACAAGGGCTTCCGAGAGCAGCTCCTTGAAGCCTTGCACGGAGCTGCATCGCACGCTGCACATCTAATACGTGCAACGTAACCTTCTAAAGTGGGGAGCGGAGAGGTTCGAAACATTTTCCATGAATTCTGCAGGTTTCTGCAGGGTGAGACGCGAGTCTCCGGCGCTGCTCCCAGACTCCCAGCCGTGCTCCGAGGAATTGCCAAGAAGCCCTGTAGAGCCCTTGTCGAGGTCGAAAGGCAAAACGTGAAAGAAATTCCGGAGAGCACCGCAGGGGCCGTAGGACCGTCGGAGGACACCGCTCTGTTCAGATTTTAATGACCAGGCCCTTGGAAGCCTCGGCACGGCTGCACACAACAGCGACGACGAATGCCTACATAAGTCAAAGGACCCTCCAAGATAGTGGCAAGGCTCGCCGATTGTTCGACTTTTGCATGACGGGGGTTTCTTCATCGTCGCTGGAATAGGCCGTGTAGCCAGTCCGTCTCTTCTGAATGAACCAGATGCTTCCTCGAGCGCGGTTCACACACGAAAACGTGGGGTTCCGTGATTCTGTGAACTCGTCCGTCTGGCACTGTTTGATATGCAAAGCCCTTGCATCTCGCAAACATGAAGGATCATGAAGGGATGTCTTCGACTCTACTTCAGGTGCACGACCCATGACCGACAGGTCAACCCACACCAGAAAGAGCTGTTACTTGGAAGCAGTGAGAACCTCAAGTCCTGATTGATGACTAGCTACCCCGCTTCCCACTCCCCACGCCTCAGGAGATCTCAGGAGAATGTCAGAATGTCAGGACCGTGCACTCTACGTTATGCCTGAGCGCTGAAACTCTGCCAAGCGTCCCCAGATTAGGACGTTTGCTAATATGAGGCCGATCGCGATGGGAACAACGGGGATGCCACCCCCGGATGGTGGGTGGGCAGAACCCTGGGACGCACAAAGCAGTACAACAAAAGTCGCGTAGAATTGTCGGCCTCCAAAGACTTAAGCCACACAAGCAGTTGCAGCTGGCTGAGGCGTGAAGTAGACAACAGAAAATCCTGCAGAAATCCTGCTGGCCCTTAAGACGCCATGCGGCCACAGGCGGGTCCGTCAGGACTTGGTGCGGGGTCGGACCCTGCGTTGCTGGTCTGAACGTCTGGTCCTTTGGCCTCTGGTCTGGAGGAAGCCTTAGCACATGCAGACAAGCTACCCGGATCTACACCTGGCTTCAACGACATAAGCACAGGCAGGCGGCGTTTCCACGCAAATGCCTTCATTGCTGCACGGGCCTTCGAGGCATTGGCACACGCCTGGCCCGTTCAAGGTTTGATTGGGGTCAAGTGCGCACCACATGCGTGGTCCAAGTGCCTTGCTTACAAGAACTTCGCAGCACCGTGAAGCTCTCGGCCTTCCTTCATGGCGATGGCACTGGACCCCACGCACTGGGTACGCCCCCGCGATGCCTTGCAGCCCATACCTGAGCGGAAACTTCTGCGACATGACGACTGGCATGGGAGCAAGTGGACACTGCTTGGGGCCTGCAGTTGCAGATGCAAGCCACACCCAAACACCGCGGGGGTTCGGAACTCTACACTCACAAAAGACTCTCCGTAAAATCGACGTTGCCCCTGCTGCTCTCCAAAGCTTTGGGGGTGAAGGCTTTATTCGGAACGATGTTTGTGGATCTGTCCTTTGCATGGGCGAGGAACCTGGCAGATTCATGCAGGTGGAGCTCAAGCAACAGCTTTCGCCGACGCATTGTGGAGGCTGTTCAGGGTGCTCTATCGCACTCTCCTCTGGCTGATGGCATGTTGCATCATTCTGGAAGGAAGAATGTAAAACTTGGTAGATTAAAAAAACAATTCCGTGGTGTTGCCCCTCTCCAAGTCTCGATCTTCTGCTCGGCTTTCTCAGCCATGATCCCTGCAACTCTTCCAGCCATGGCTGTTGCAATAGTCGCTGGATCCTGTCCGGCCGCTGGCATTGCAAGCGCCAGCAACCATACGTGCGCACGAATCCTCGGACTTCAAGACCAATCGCAGAGAAACGCTTGCGTTACACAAAAGCTTGTCATCGCCAACCACAAGGTAGCAAACCTGTCATGCATACCACGCTGCATTTCCACGGCTCCACGTCAAAAGGGCAAATCAATGCAAGTCTTGAGCTCAAATCAGGCACACAGACTCAGACCGAGCTCTCAAACACAGCGGGCAGCCTTCAAACAAACTGCTATGGGCGACAAGGCAACAAGGCCACGGCGCTTCAAGATCTTACTGTGCTCGCTGACGTCGTCGAGGGACACCCCAAGTACTGCCAGGCGTGCCTGATACCGCCGCTACCGCGCACAAGCTAATTCCACACTGAGTCCCAAAGTCGGACAAGTTAGCTCTCGCAGAACGACAAACAGGCAGACTTCACAAAGTACAAAAGCAACGCAGCGCACTCGAAGCACTGAGAGCATCGCCTTGAGCTTGAAGCGAATGTATGCAGTCGGATTTTTGACTGATGGACCTCCAAATCTCGAGCGGAACAGCTTGCGACTCAGTTTCGCCTAGACATCCATCTGTTTACCAGGAAGCAGATCAGGATCATCGCCTCGCCGCCCAATTTTGAAGTAATTAACTTCAAATCCGGATGTTTACGTTTGTGTTTTGTGCTCCTTACCGATCCAATCAATGAGTAATCGTTCACCAGGAGATTCATAGTTGTTGGACAGCACGCAACGAAGGACATGGGAAGAGGCAGCTGCAGCTGCGTAGGTCGGGAAGCGAAGAAGTCCTGCAGAAAAACGAGATGTTAAATATGCAAATTGAGAAACCGAACGGCCGCGCAACACCCTGCTGTTGCGACCGCAACGTGGGGTTGGTCACAGAGCCTAAAATTCTCTATGGCACAAGCAATGCACGAGCAGATCTTTTTCTTCAAGCGGAGACACGAAACTCTGTCGTCACAAGGATACACTAATGTGTACATTGGAAAAAATCGATGCCAAACGTTTGCATAAAAGATGCAAAATGATTCTGATCATCGAACGCGAATCCCCCTTAGGGAGAGACCCACACCCCAAGGGTCACGTAGAACGTCTGGGTGACACTTCCATGTCGACTCCAAGCAGCGAAGCCACCCCGAGCACAGCCACACTCCCGTCGTAGAAGAAAAGGGTGGGCAGGGAGGGACAAGAAGCTGAAGAGCTGGTCCCAAAGAGACACAGCTTAATCCAAGGCTTCGCGAACAGTGCATGCTGTACCTCAAGAATAGAACTCTAGGCCCAAACCAGCCAGGCCATGCTACAGAAGGCAATCAATCTCTGAGCAGATCCAAGGGTGTTAAATCATCCGTCCGATCCAGTTGCCGATCGAGGCAGCTGGGTATTAAAGGATTTCGCGCATCAGCAACATCTGGCTCCAAAAGGGGGCCAGACCCGTGAATGGAGAAATCGACAACACGATAGCTCCGGAACTTATGCTGACCAATGTCCTAATCCAACAGCACGTGCTTCTTGCCCCGATCGATAGATTCGGCAAATTGGAGCAGTCAACCAACCAGGCCTCGAGTTGATCAGAGACAGGGCCCCCGGGCAGACCGAGATTCGGATAACCTGAAGTCGACAATGGGCCCTCCGTCGTTTTGCAATCATCCGGTGCGCCACGTGCCGAGGTGCTTGAACCCGCATTAAAGTCTCGCCAGCCTGCCGACATGAAATAATGGCAGCCGCGACCGCCCTCTACCTTGGCAGCGGGGTAGCAGATGATATTCCAACCGGAATCCGGGATTCGGCTATCCTCCTTGAGCTTTTAGGGCGGCTCCTTTTTGCAAGGCGACCATCTTCTCCCCGTGTTTGTTCTTCTTTCTTCATTCCTGGTCGTTTGCCACGAGAGCGCTGACAAGGATTCTGGGGCGGGCCCACTATGATCCTGATCTAGGTCGAAAGTGCTCAACCTCAAGAAAGCCGCCGGCACGAGCGTCTTCCACAGATACTTGTGGTTGGTGATCATGCACCTCGAGCAGAGCCTGGGAGTGTAAAATCGCAGAAGTGCAGCGTTGCTCCGACATATGAGGCGACAAATCCTTTTGCAGATGGCCCGATCGGCCGCCATGCGCAATGGCGGCCCTGGGCACTCAGCCGTGAACTGCTCGAGCTCCCGCAGACCGCAGACACTTCAGCAGTGCGTGAGAATCCGCGCCCCACTGCGTGGATCCGCTTTTGTGATCGTTAACGAGTCCTCCACGTTTCGAGTGAGCCCCGACTTGGACACGATCACGCCCGATCGGGCAAGGATCTCCACGGGCTGGTAGAACGGGACGATGCCAGGACGAACTTCTTATGGTGCTTCTTTGCAGTCTTAGCGAATATCACATCGGGGTGAACCTTCGCCAGGTTCGAGGCCACCATACCGATTGTGTTGGCAAAGCATGGCGAACGCAACGACCGTGAGGAGACGTCTGTCAGCTGCGGTGACCCACAGCTTCCTTGCCAGAGATCTGCCGCAGAGCCAACTTCGGAGTGAACTTCTCTGGGGCGTACGCTGCGCGGTCGACCACAGCGACCCGGTTCAGCTGGAGCAAACTGCGATCGCCAGCCAAGTCAAGTAGAGTACGTGGCACGGTTTCGAAAGACAGTGCGCCTGACAACCAGCGGTCGTGTTCACTTGAGACGATCGTAGCAAGCGGAGCGTATGTCCAGGCTCTCGGGCGCTTACCTGCCCGCGTGCTGGCCTTGACCGCATAGGTGAGCACAGCCCTGTTGAAGCTCACCCTCGTCAGCATCGAACTCCCCGGACGCCTGCCACTCCAGCAGAAGCTATAGAAGCTGGCGGGTCAGGTTCAACACACGGGAGACCGAAATCTTCGAACGATCAACACGACCGTTGGGGGTTGTTCCAGTTGGCAGTGCCGAACTTGCATGGGAGTCCCACCGGACCTCCCGCCGACAGAGCTGCCGCATGATCCCCTATGGCCCTATGGCCAACCCCTTCGGCGAAACCCTAGCGGCCTAGCGCCGAGGCAGGCCGAACTCTGGTACAGGGCGAGCTGCCGGGAAAGACGAACCACCAGCGGCGGCTTTGAGACGATCTATCCTTCCACTCCCATGCCCATGGAGAAAATCAAGGACGATCGCCTGGGCCTAAGCCAAAAAGGCCACGGCAGACGTTAAGTCGCGATTGCGCTATCGAACGACCACACTGAGCCCTGAGCCCAAGCTAGCTGGCGATGTATACGCAGCATATACTTACATAACTTAGATGTATATGATTATACACAACATATGTACCACGACTTTCGCAAACACACACACACACACACACAGCAGCAGCACGAGCCGCTGCTGTAGTGGGTGGTACAGTATTAGTCGTCGCCGTCGTCGTCGTAGCAACAGTCGCCATCGGCGTCGTAGTGCTTCTAGCACAGAAGGAAAGACTGGTCTGAGCAGAGTGGCACAAGGACCGAGAGCAGAGAAGAAGAGCAGCCAGAATTTTCGCGGCAGCGGCAGAGCAGTAGCAACCAGCACTGCGTGCCTTTGTCTGCAACCTCTTGCAGCAGTCCCAAAGCGTCTTCTTCTGGAAGTCCTTGAGATGCTCGGCCGATTGGGAATCTGCTTTTGGCTCCTGTTTAAACTCGGGTTGTGGTCTTTCCAGCTACCAGTCTGCACACTAAGACGGACAAACGTGATCCTTTCATTGCCCTCTCGCTGCTGTCTCTTGCGTGACACCCCAGGACTCACCCAACAGAGGATCTTGGCTCCCAGCTTTCAAGTCCGTCCACAACGGAGGTGGCATCAATCTGAGCCGACAACCTTGCCAGGAGCGAAAAGTAGTCAGAAACTGTAAACTGGTCTTTTGAAGCCAAGAATGCCCAGGAAATTCTATGTTCAGACCGAGTGGAGTCCTGAGGTCTAGGCGTACCTCCACTGTTCAACTCTTCGATTCTCTCCGCCACTGCTGACTGTCCAGAGTCCTCGGAAGACGCCGAAGGGTCGACATCTTCTCAGCATGAAGAGCACGACTTTGATTACTCGCAGCTCATGCATCTGCGACATAGGCGAATGACGACTGCCTGTTCTGCATGCTCTAAATCTCTGCATGCCGGCAAGCAGATGCTGGTTCCAGACCCAGCTGGCATGATGGTTCGAGTTTCACCGAACATGTTCAAGGGCATAACAGCACATCACCGAAATGATTTCATGCAGACGACATCTAAACAAACATGCTTCAATCAACTCAACACGCATCATCCACTTGTCGACCTCAGGAATTCGAGTGATCGCCCCCACTGACTAAGCGAACAGATTGACAAAGCTATCCAGTGAGATAAAGCTCTGCCGTCTCGAGTGAGCTTACAAGTCGCTGTCCATGACTTGAATCGAGACTTCGCATGCAGAACGGATCTTGGAGGGAAGGGCATGCTCGGCATGTTGGCAAAGTTACGGATTTCCGATACCCAGAGGCCATATTGTCCAACAACAGGTGTAGCTTCCTGGTTGTATCCCGCCGTTGCCAGCGCCGGCAGACGCGCAAGCAACCCGAGTTTGACTGGAAGCTGCCCATCCAAGCAGTAAGATGCCGACCGTGCCCGCCAAGTCGACCTCATCTCCACCGGCCTGGCAACTCTGGGGCTTGCCGCACCGTTTCCAGTCTGCTCTGGAGCAAATCAGAGATCTGCGATCTGCGACTTTTGCATTTGGAAGGCTCGGCTGCCCACGGTTCTCGCCAAAGCCGCTAGTCGACTCCCAAGACATATCGTGGGCTCACCGGGAGATGTGTTGAACTGTGTTGGGCTGAGGGTTGGCTTTTGAATTGCAACGCCTGTCGGTCACATCACGTTCTGCGGCCGGGGGCTTCAGGGAATGGGCAAATCTGTTCTGGATCTGCGACTCCAGGCTCGAAAGGCCGACGGACAAATCGTTTTTTCCTTTGCGTATTTTCGATTTTTGCGTGAAGGCCTTGACAGCCTTGCCTCTTGACTATCTCGACATAGCATGACATATCCAAAAGGCGTACCTAAGCTGGGCTTGCTTCGGGCGTGGGAGCACACCCAGCAAGCCCTGCCCGAGTACTTCCGGATATTCCATGACGTCAAGTCGTCAAGTGGCAGGCTTCCAGGCATGCGCAGCCGACATCGGTCTTTGGCCCGTATGATTGTACAGGTTCGACATCAGGGAGGCGAAGCGTCGGCCGCTGTGTCAGGGACCAGGGCAAGTCTGTGTCAGCTGCCGGAGGGTCTCCACTCTGAGCCTTCAGACGCCTCTGGCATCGTGGACATTTCTTGGGCTCCTCAGCCGGCTGACTCGTTGGACGGCGTGCTGACTTTTTCTGCATACGCTTAGAAAGACAGAAGACGATGCCGCCTAACTAGCGTCTGAGACAGGAAGGCTCGGCCATCCGGCTAGCGGTGCCTGGGGAGACGGAGGCTGCTTCCGAGACAAGACTCAACGATTCGACGGATCGGACTTCCTTGACAATTCTGCAGCGCAGCTTGAGCAGGGGGAAGCCTGTTCCACCGCCTTCTTGATGAAACCAGTTGGGTCTGCTACCTGCTCCAGACTCAAGATGTAGGACCTACTGACCTACTGCAGTTCCAAAGCTGAAACATTAACTCAGGATGGTTTCCAGGCCGAGGGTATAGGCATTGAAGCTGAATTAGACTGAACCGCAGATGGCCGTGAATTCCTAACAGTGTCCTTCCGGCTTTTCTATAGCTCTCCTGTTGCAGGAAGCGAGGGAGCCTAAGAAACGATTCTGCAGCTCCCGCCTTGTTGCCCTTCATCTCCAGCTCTCTGAGGAGGACCATGGCGTGGGCCACCTTCGCGAGTCATCATCCCCGCCATTCCAAGCTCCGTGAAGGACAACAACTCGCCCTCTCCAATGCAGACTACTGCAACTTTACAAATCATAATGATCGCACGCCCGTCCTTGAGGCTGTCAAGCAGGTCGGCCACCTGCGTCATGTCCATAAGCTCAAACGGTGACGGACCCGTCGCCCTCGGTCTGCCCCCGCCTCTGCCCAGTCGATGGGCTTGGTCAGACATCCATACCTCGCGTGCGAAAGAATCAACCTCCGACTTAACTTCCAGAATTTGAAGTGAAGGGACTTGCTTGCTGCTTCATCTGCTTCACGTCCAACAGCATGAAGTAACATTCTACAGTCTACAGCCTCGCTAGATGCTATTCTTAACTTGGCTCCTGACTTGTTCAGCCATGCAACTCGCTTGGCCACCTTACAAGGCTTTCATGGGGCAGGCTCTTCTGCGTTCAGGGGAAGCACTTGCACGATGCGACTTGCACATTAAGTCTCACACGTGTGATGAGTTGTTTAAGATACCAGAATGAACAGGGCAGCCTTTAAGTCCGCATTGGGTGGAGAGTGGAGCACCAAAAAGCAGGGACTGTGGCCCCTCGAAACACAAGCAATACTGCACGATGGGCTCCAGAGAGGTGGGGGGGAGCGGTAGGAAATCGCATGTTGTGATTACCATGGATGCTCTCGATATCGGAAGTCAGCTGGCCTGCGACAAGAATCATGAAGTAGTGACAACTCGTGACTAGTTGTAGTCTTGTTTTGACAGCTTCACCTCGGCTACGGGGCTAGAGTGGATCTTGGATGCTGGGATTCTACTTCGGGCCTAGCAGCTGGCACTGCTCAATATTGCGATGCTGGCCTTGGTGTCATCATCGATGAGTTCCGGTTTCGACCATATCCAGCCACCTTTTGCTGGTAGGTCCCTGCGCGCGAAGAAAGGCTGCGGCAACAACTCAGCCCACACGATAGCGTTGCTTGGAGAGGTTTGCGGAAGTGGGAGGTGCGAACACATGCACTAAAATCTGAGCCGCTGCTTATCTTTGCACTGCTGGTTCACGACGACGGAATAGACTGAATTCTTCGAGCTAGGCTTTTATGTCGCGGTCTCGCGAAGTTCACGTTTGAACTAGGCGGAGCTTCGCTGATGCTACCCGAAACCCGCGCAAGCGTCACAGCCAACGTCAAACTGCACCGCCAACGACCGCGCCCGAGTAGGGAATCGATGGATAACCCTTTGCTTCCGAACTGTCGTTGAATCCTGCTAGGCCCAAAGCGACATCACGTATCGCAACAGCTCCTCAGCAGGTCTTCCTCCTCCTTCTTGACGACAGGGAAACGGAAGCCTTGTCTCGCTTGGCTGCTCGTGCTACATAAGAAGGGGCTGCTTTTTCAAGTTGAGATACTTAGATGAAACTTTCAGCAGGAGCACCCATGTGTCGAGTATACCAATGACAGTTCAACGCCAACACAGTGGGCAAGAGTGGGTGAGGCCTGGGTGAGGACTAAAGCAGCATCAAAGACATGGCGTGTCTCATGCCTGATCGAGTCGCGTAAGGATGCCTAGATTCTTTTTTGGACTGACAAAGTTGTGGGGAATTCTTCTCACGGCAGTGGCCCCGAACCCTGTCGCCTTGACCGTGAGGATGTGGCCTGACCAGCCCAACGCGGCACACTCCGTGACGCAATGCCAAGTTTTCAAAGATATTTCCAGTTGGTTCGAGATCAGTTTGTGGCTCCACGACTTGTAACAATCTATGACATTTATAAGCTTCGCCTCCTCTGACGCCATGCCATGGGACAAGGATGTTGGGTGTGTATGATACGTCTGCAAGGCTAATACTTGTATGAATGTGGGTCGAAGTCTGTTCTAAGAGAACGCGATCATGTGAGTCTTGGACCACTGGCACCTTGTTGTATAGCGGCTGAGCTTGAAAACGTCTGCATGGCTTGCTGCGATGCAATCTGTGCAGGTCGCCGTGCTGCTGTCTGATTCGGACGTCTTGCTCTGGTTCAAAATCAATAGTAGCGTCACAACTCGACACACTCTTGCCCTGGCTCATCTCCACACGGCTCAGTGCGACAAGGCTCGCTTCGCAGGCACGCTGCGCTTTTCTCGCACACGATAGCGAGTTTAGTTTTGAGGCCGGCCGAAGCCATGGTCTCTGTCCAAGTCCCTGACATCCTGAAAGCTGCACGGGGGGAATCCGGATACAAAGATCCGTCTCTGTGCTCGTTCACCATGCCGCTCGACAAGATGTGTAGCCCTTGATCAGTTATCCCGGAACCCGAGGATTTGCACGATATTTAGGAAGAGGTTGATGATGTCCAAATAAAGGCTCATGGCAGCGAAAGCATAGTCATCAATGCTGAATTCCAGTTCATGGCCGCCCCACTGACCTAGCATGAGCTGCGTATCGAAGATAACGTAGAACTGGAAGATGAGCAGAACGAGGGTGCAGTAGCCCATCTGCGCGAGAGGCCATACTATTCCGAACCTTGGCTGATGCTGTATAAGTCGCACCACAGTTTGCCAAGCAGGCAACGAATATATGATCCTGCCCTTGAACGCATGACCGACGCAGACATGAAGTGGCATGAAGGATCAACTGCAGAAAGCCGTGCAGCATGGACAGGAAGAGAAAGACGCAGCTCACGAGAGTCAGAACCTGCCGCCACAACGAGGGTACTCTACCACGCTTATTGAAAAATCAGGCGAGCATTGTCCGGAGCCCTCTGCACACTGAAACCCAATTGCACAACATTGCACAACACACAATTTCTGGTTTTCTGTGGAGTGCAGTGAAGGGCGAGGCACACAAAGCCCTGTCCACAGGTATGGTGCATACCCAGTGAAGTCCGTCTTCGTGGTGAAGGCGTATGCTGTCAAAAGAAGGAAATCTACCTGAGAGTGTCAGATCGATACGATTGACACATCTGACATCCCTGACGAATTTGGACACAAGGTGTCAGTGTCGCCACAAACAGAGCCGAGCTGCTGCCGTGATCATCATGGCAATGAGAATAATGGGAGCCTCTGCACATGCAAACCAGAGATCGCTCCGACGAGTTCGAACTGCCAATTCCTTGCACCTTTGCGTGCTTTATTACAGTGGTCCTCAGCCTGAACTTCAACCCCCCAGCTTGCATTGCAAACTGTCGACCAAGACAGCGAGAACCGTTACTGTTTTCCCAGACCGCTGCACTTTGCAGTCCCCTCAATGCCAGCTGGAGACACGCTCAATCCCGAATTCGAAGCTAACAAGCCACCTAGCCACGCTCTTCTGATTCTCGGCTGTCAGAAGACTTCAAAGGCAAAACACCGAGCTCGTCCAGGCGGCTGAATATTGTCGACAAACCAGCCCGGTCATGGTCCCGGTGGCAGCGGTCCAGATTCCAAGACAAATATAGTTCCTAGTGTCTTTCTGGAGCTACTACAGTGGGTCGGGACAGGAAGAAAAGTTCTATGTGAATGCCCAACGAATCAACTTACTGTCTAAGTGGCTGTTAAGACCTGAGAAGGGCCGCGCAGTCGAAGTGTGTTCAGAAGGTGGAGGGGGGATGTGACTGCTGAAGTCCACCACATAAAAGCCCCAAGTTTGAAGCGCTCTAAAGCTGCTTGCGGCTTCTTGCGGCTCGATTGCAGACTGGATGAGGCAGCTTTCGTGCTTAGGGAAAAAACCCGGCTGCTGGCTACTGCCGCCGAGGGTCTTGGGAAAAGTTCGCATGGTATCTCTGCAGCCTTGGCGAAAGACGCAACGGCTCTTGGTTTTCCTGCTGGCAATTGGTGTGTTCGTTTGTCCAGGCAAGTTTAAGGGTTTTGCAACCCTCAGAACAATCTCACACGCCTGTCTCCCAAGCACGGATGGAAAGGATGCAAGCAGGCGGTATGGCAGGAGAGAACAGAGGCAATTGTTGTTCGGGTCTGGAGCCGGTGCAGTGGTGCCAGACACAGCTTCATGCAACACGAGACTGAGTGGGAGGTCTTCTTGTGAATTGATTGCCAGAGATTTTGGCTACACAGGGGTAGGATTATTGGCGTGTGTATGTGACTGTGTATGCATGTAGTGGATGCAATTGGGGCATTTTGCAAGCCGGGGTGCAACTTATCACGAGAGCAAAAGCAAGCATAGTGAAGAGAGACCTGAGCTGCTTCAGAACACAGGGTCCGGCCTTGCGCTGTTGGAACAAGGCAGAGAGTAGCTCGGGCATCCACAAAGCAGGGAGCCAGGAGTATTTCTCCAAGAGCTGGTCACTCATGGTAGCGCATGGATATGCCACTACGATCGTCAGCAAGAGCTGGGCTGACAGAATTCCATACCTTGGCTTCCCAAGGCCCGTTCCCCCCGCCCTGGCTCTGGCTACGAACAGAAACTCGGTCGACATCGAGCACTGTTTACGCCACTGCATCCGAGTTGACGGATAAGTCCATCACAACTGCCAGGGGAGACTGGAGCCCACGCACCCTTTCGAGCAGAGGACATCTACCCTCCCCTGGCTGTCGCGATAGCGTGCCCCGGACCCCTTCAGCTGCCACACTACTTCGTAGTGGGCATATTCATCGAGCTGCATGAGCCAGCTTTGTACAACGCCTGGGGTTCCAGGGCAGGTTCACTAGCACAGGCATTCTCTTCTGAGAGTTCGCCGTCATGTTTTGGCATTCGACTGGCGGTCGTGCTGACGCAGCAACGAGCCGGGACGGCCTCACATCTGGGTCTGGGTTTGCATGTGTCGCTCCAGTTTTGAGCGGCTCGCAGAGCGAGCTGGGGGGCTGCGCTTCGACCTCGGCTGCGCACGGAGAAGAGACAGAGGCAGCTCACGGCAGCTCACGCATGCGCCAAGTCGCTCCTTCTTGAGCTCCTCTGCCAGCAACTTTCGCACATCCGCCGTCTCGGCCAGAGCTTTCTTTGCAAGACCTTGTGACCGTGGAAGCTCTGATGGAGGACTTGGGCTTGCCGGACGTGGGCTTGGCTGCCGGTGTCCCACAGGGCGGCGGGGCTCTTTGGGAGTGCGAGGAGACTCGGACTGCCGCAGACCTCTGAAGCGGGCTCCTTGCCCAAAGCCGCTCTTGATCTGCTTCAGCTTGCTGGTGGAGGCGGACTCAGAGGGGAGCTCGCTACCCTCCTGCGGCGACCGGACTATTCCCTGCAGCAGCTGGCTCAAAGTCCGCATGCAATGCACATCAACCTTGCGAGCTTGAAGCAGGGTGTGGACATGAGCCGTGAGATCAACGGCCCGTAGTCGGTCGGCATCCATCAAGACTTCTGTAGTGACGACTCCACGCGCACCCTCGGGAGCTGCTAGCTGCCGTGCTTCCTTTGGCACGGAGTTCAGGGTCACAGCACCGAAAGCTACTTCCTCTCTTTCGGTCTGCACGGCAGTAACGGTGCTCTCCGGAGTAGCTTGTGTGCAGGCTTCAAGAGTTTCGATGACGGTCGCGGTCTGAGTCGCCTCCTCCTTGCGCTCCTTCTGCGAGTCTTCCAACTCCTTTCGGGCCTTTTCCACAGCTGACCTCTCGGCTGCCAGTTGCTTTTGCAGCTGCAGGAGTTGGCGCTTTCTGCTCTCCAGCTGCTGCAGTGCCTGCTTGCACTTGGCTTTGAACTCCTCCTTCTCTTTCTGATTCTGCGCCTGCAGTTGTAAACGCTCTGCTTGCAGCTCTGCTTTAGTCCTCTCCGAGGATTCTTTAAATGCCAACACCTCTCTTTCGACTTCTTCATGGCGTGCTATATCGCGGCTTCGGTGTTCCTGCAGCTCTGCCTTTGCCTGCGACAAATGCAGAACATCGTCTTCGAGTTCCTCCCTCGAACGTGCCAGAGCCGATCGTTCTTCATCAAGGATGGCCCACTCATTCTGAGCCTTCTGTACAGCCGATTCCAGTTGGGTCTGCTTGGCTGTAAGCTCCTCGCGCTCGTCGCGCAGGCGCTGCCATTCTGCTTCCAGGTCCTCACGGTCGGTCTGCGCCACCAACACTTCCTCCCTCTTGGCATCGAGTTCTGCGCGTTCGGCTGCAAGCAGCTGCCGCTCCTTTTCGAGAGCCTCCTGCTTGACCTTGCGCATGGCATCGAAGTCGTGCCGAGCTCTCTCCAGCTCTGCTTTCTGCGAGGCCAAGTGCAGCGAGTCAGCCTTCAAAGCTGTCCTGCGCGCCTGCGTCTCCTGGTCAAAAGCTGCGACTTGTTCGTTCTTCGTCTCCAGTTCTGCTTCTTGCTTGGCTATCTCTTGTTTCCGTCGCTCCAACTGCTTCCTTTGAACGGCAATGTCTTCACGAGCTAGACTGGCACGCTCCTTCTGTTTAGCCTCTGCATCGCCGTCTATGCCAAGTTCTTTTTTGACGTTCTCGTGTTCATCGCGTAGCGCCTTCTGCAAAAGCACCTTCTGAAAACTAAGCCGCACGACCTGCTTCTGAAATTGCGCGACCTGTTGCCACACCTTGGCGTTGGGTGGTAAGAAGCGTATCCGCAACGGCCTCTGGTTGATGGCAGCTCGAAACTGCTCTCGCGTCATCGTACCCACTATGTTGCCACCAAGCTCGACCACTTCACAACCAGGTTGGATCCTTGGCTGGTGCGCAAAGTCTCAGGAAGCCGCGATGCAACACCAGCCTAGACTACACGCCGACTATCGCTACCTGAGAGTACCGGTGAGTGCTTGCCAACCCTCTCTGAAGCACTGCTCATTCTCCAACCGCGTATCCCCGCAGTCGCCGCCCACGTGCCTTCGTGCACCTGCTGGCTGACCGGAAGCAAAGTTAAAACTTTGTACAATCCCACTCAGCGAAGGTCTCAGCCGCAATTGAGACTATCAAGCTGCCACTGCAGATTCACACATCACTCGTCCCCCAAAAGGAGCTTCGATTGTTCCTTCCTGCTCCGGACCAGTTCCAAGCCCGACAAGGACCGAACTACTCACACCCATTGAAGCTCGGCCCTAATCGACTCCAGAACCGCCTGCGAAATGCTTTATGATAGCAGCTGCTGCGCGAGTTAAACAGTTGGATGGGTGTTCTCCCGTGCCTGCTTGACCACCAAGGGAGGGGGTGGCAGCGGAGGAAGTGTCACGAAGACGATACCCAAGCTCTCCACCTCACTGTTCACCGGGCTGGGCTGCTGCACTGGACAAGACACATGCTAGTCGAGCCCTCACTGACACACGAGGGTGCAGGGATTCTTCCGACCTGGCAGACAGCAGAGACATGTCCAGCACAGTCGTAGCAGTCCCCAACGCCAACAACACGAATCGCGCAGGGACGAGAATGCGGGAGAGGTCTGGACAAGATTCCCATCTCTGTCAACATGGGTGCTGCAAGGTTTGAAAGGCCAACTGATTGGTCCATGACATAATGTCATCAACATCATCAGCATCGGCATCAGCAGCAAAGGACAACACTCAATAACAACATCGACAGAAAACTCATCACCGTCGTCATCATCCTGGGCAGCAGATGCGGTGGCAGCGGCAGCTTCAGCACCAGAAGCAGGAGCAGCAGCAGCAGCAGCAGCAGCAGCCGTCGCGGACGCGACATCGACAACGACATCTACATTGCCCGCAACCAACAACCACCAACCAACCAATGCCAAACACAAAACAATCACCACCAAGCAACAGGCAACAGGCAACAAGCGACCACCACCACTACCACCACCACCACCACCACCACCACCAGCACCACTGCCACCACCACCACCACCACCACCAGCACCACCACCACTACCAGCCCCACCCCCGCCGCCACCACCACCACCACCGCC